GCCTTGTTGATGCTTCACACCGATACGTTTAACAAAAACGTTAAGCGTAAAATGACCAAAGAACAATTCGTGAACAACACACGCATCGAAGGTGTGCACCCGGAGATATTGGAGGTGGATATTACCATTTCATATTATTTATTTATTTATCTATTTATTCATGCTCAACCTCCTTTTAAATATATAAATATGAATAAATACATATAGATTCTTTATGATAACATCACCTTTGCGGAGTTCATATATGCCGAGGATGATGTGGATGTGAATGGTCAGACGATGATTGAATCACCGGCAGACCACCGTACGCTTTTCCCATCCTCCAAAGATAAGAAGAAACAAGTGCGTCAAAGGAACAACCCCTATTGGGTCATACAGAATGTAAAAGATTCATTTTTTTTTTTTTTTTTTTTCGAACCTATTTTTGTCAAGATGCACAAGAAAAATCTTACAAAATCTTTACAAACATTGCATTAGAAATTGCCTACCGATTTCAAGCCCTCCGTCAAAGATATAGTCCCGATGGAGAATCCGTATTCATACATGGGAACATTGCCAGCACTTGATGTAGGAAATTTGCACAGAGCATTTTCTTCCGCGCAAACGATCCAAATCACCGGAGTGCAAAACCGACACAAAAATGATGCAGCCCATGGCACTCCGTTAAATCAATATCAATCGGTCTCCAACAAGAACGATGAAACTTTTCTGTTGAAGATAACCAAAGGTGGCAGATTGATTAAGAAGATTGACATGATTGACGGTAAAAAGAAAGGAAATTTCTCCCGCAACTGGAGGCAGTACGGCGTGATTTTGAGCGGTAGTCAGTTGATGTTCTTCAAGGATGAAGCATTGTCTACGCAATTGGCCGAGCTGAAAGACCCTGAGGTGGTTTTTTTTTTTTCTTTTTTCACATTGCGCTCGAGTGAAATTCGCGACTATCACCAACTACTCGTGCCATCTGTTACTTTCAGAAATTAAAGAAACTACCGACACTTCGACCCGATGCGATATTGATGACTGCCGATTCAGTTGCGGTGTATGACAGGAGTTATGTAAAGTATTCGAATGTGTTTCGACTTGCATGCCCCAAAGGTTGCCAATACTTGTTTCAAGCCGAAAGCGAGGTCGAGTTGAATGACTGGATATCGAAAATCAATTATGCTGCAACATTCAAAACCGTCGGATTAAAGATAAGAAATGTTCGGAATAACACTTTTAATAAAAAAAAAGGAACCTTTCCTGGGACTGGCGTGGGCATAGGGCCTGGCGACCGAAATAATGACGGAAATGGATTCCTTGGGCCCGCCAAGGACGACAGCTCTAACAAGGACTCACAAGGTCGAGCTAATTTTCTTCGGGTAGGTTTTCTTGAATGCAAACTTCACAATTCCATTTGCACTGGTGCTGACCTTTCTTTCTTTATTTGGGTTGATTCTTTTTTCCCTCGAATTCGTTATTCGCATTTTTAATTTGTGGTCGAAAATAGTCAAAAATCGATGAGCTTCAGGAAAAAATTTCTACTCTCACTTCACAGCTACAAACGGACATTCGACTTCGAAATAATCTTATACTGATGATTCCCTACAGAGCTTCCACCAGAGATCGCATAGTACATATATCCGCTTCGGTGGCACAACGGCTTAGGAATACATGCCTGGAGCTCAGCAGGTTGGTGTGCTATCATGAGATATTAGAAAAGGACTTGTGCACCACCGTTATGGAGAATAGTAGCTACTGGCAACACCGGAATAGCATGTATCGAGTGGGCGAAAGTTCACAGGATCCGGTAACCCCCAGATTAAATGTGGACATCCCAATGAGAAAACAGCTGGGAGCTTCCGAAGTTTATACGGGTGGACATGTGCTCGTTGAGGACCCAACTAGTGATGAAGAACTCAGCCTGATGGGCGAAAGCAATTGGGAAAGAAACAATAATTCATTATTATCAAGCGATAGTGCCAATAGGACCCATCTCCGCTTAACAGACAAGAGGCCGATTGACAGAGGCATCAGAGCAACAACAGTAGATATCTTGCCCACCTCATCGATTTCATCAATTCCGTCCACACCATCGTCATCGGCTGCAGGATCCATTCGCATGTCGCCACAGTATGATAATGAATACGAAGAATTTAGTTACCTGGCAAACAGCTCAGAATTGGAATTGGAGCTTGTTCAGACACCGACCATTAGCATCGATTCCGATAACATCGGCATTTTTGAGGACAGCGTTCCGAGTATCATTAATGAATCCACTGGTTTTGACGAGGAATTCGTGCACAATAAGAATCCAGAGGAAAGATTATTCGAAAGGGAGAGATTTAATTTCGAGGAGATTGAAATTAAGAGAGAGAGACCAGATAAAGAAATTAGGGTCGAAAGAGAGGAAATCGAATTGGGGGTGGAGAATGAGATTCCATACAGACGAACCCCGGAGACACGAACGAGTGAAACATGGAATGCCGGAATAGAGGAAACAGAGAAGTCAGAGGAGAGGCATGAGGAGGGGTTAATATCCGACGAAGAAGTTGAAAACGATGAATCGTCGAATAGCGATCATACAGAAATAATACCTTCGGTAGTCATATCTGAGGTAGAATCGTTAAGTGATGAGGAGGATCATTATCAAGATATGAACAATAATAACAATAACACTGAATCTGAAATCACTGTCGAGGATAACTCGGATTCGGATTCAGATGATGAATTTGTTGATTGTGAGGAATGGAATCCCGAGTAAATTATCAAGGAAAGTGTGGTGGCGTGGTGAATTTGGGAAAATAGACGATTGGTTTTTATGAGGAAACAATTGTTTTAAATGAAATTTTGGATTTTGGAAATAAAAAATGAATTTTTTTTTCTTTGTATCATCAGTTTTTTTTTTTTTTTTTATGTAAATGTGTAATACCTGTAATTTTCCCTTATTTATTAAGTAGCTTCATATTGTTACCTACCCTTTATGCAATCTCTACATTCATATTCCATTTTCTTGATAATCAAATTATTGCACTTTTTGTCTTTATATAGATACATCGCACTGAACTTATAAAACCCAATAAAAAAATATATATCAAATGAATTTAACGAAATACTTGATTATATAAGAATATCAATAAAATTCGATATTTTTTCTTTATTTTATTTTTTAACAAAAAAATAATTGCATCTTGTCATTTACAGTGCATCAGGTTTTCCTTTATCGTGTATGAATTTGATATAGGATAACAATTCAATGGTAAATGTTTGAGATTAAAAAGTAAAAAGAAAAATCGCGTTAAATTAAATCCTTTATTGAAGAGCAACATTTATAATAGCCATCCGATGGATACGGGAAAATTGTAAAAACCTGTTTAACCTATTTCTCGATAATGCGCCTTTTTTTTTTAAAAAAAAAAAAAAATTTAATAAAATTAGTTACAGTATATACTGTATATACTGTACATGTTAACTATAGATAATAGGGAAAAAAAAAAACAATATACTATATCTATAGTAAATACTGTCTTGTCTAATTGCAAATATTATCTAACTATATAAAATATTTATTTTTTTTTTTTGAGTACCCGTAGCCAGGCTAGATTGTGAGTTTATTAGTCAATTGAAAACATAAGTACATTTTCATTTGAACAGCATGATAAATACTATAGTTAAACTATCATTCTAATCTAATTAACTCATCATAAGCATAATAGTCTCTAAGTTCAGCCTTGGAAACAATACAGTATTTTGCTTTGCAGTGTCTTTGGGTGAAAACCTTCCTAGTTTACCATATCATTGCCAACAATTTGTCACTGCTGTATATTGATCAAAGTTACTGAAATACAGGAAACTACAAAAGAATGAATTAAAAAAGAAAAAAGAATATATCTAAAAATATTCAAGTGGATACATAAGAAAATGAAAAGAAAAAAAAATAAACTTTTTAACTTTTTTCAAAAACCTGCTTCTCAAGACTTCTTCTCAATAAGAAATATCCAATTGAGATATTTTTTCTTTTTCTAACAATTTGAAAAACTTATCTATTCTTGATTTTGATTTTCTTCTTATATACTGTCTGAGGAGACTTATCATTTAGTGGGAGCCTTTACTTCTAAGACATACTTGATCTCAATCTTCTTTGGACAATGATTTTTTATTTACCTATAATAGAGAGATGACTTATGATAAATCCCATGTTCTTATATGACCTAGTAAAAATTAAGTCATATTGTTTCAGTATGATATCTTTCAACAGCTATATCTAGTTAAAGGAATTTTACTGGTAAATATCTTTCATTACTTAAAAGGTCAAATTCTCCAATAATTCTTTTGTCTTGTAATAGTAAAAGAGTTTTAAACAGTAATAGAAATTCTTATCAATTATGATATTCTTTAACAACTTCTGGAAAAATGTATTCTCAACTATAACCAAAGGATTAAAGCTTAATATAGATTAAAGACCATTGGGTCTTATTGCCTAACTAGGATAAAAAGAAGATCTTGATTTTAAATTTTGCTTAATCGAAATGATAAAATAGAAAGACTTTAGCCTAAATGAATAGTAACTTTTTTACTACCTGAGAACTTATTATTCATATTTTATTAGTCTTATAATATTTGATCTATATGTTAACTCAATTAAAGGAATATAATAGAAATAGGATATCAATCAACTCTTTCTATTATCAATAATATCATTGAAACATATGAGTATTATCAATAGGAGCTTATTTATATTCTACTACCAATGTGTTTTATATCAATCAATTAGATGCAAGGTAATCTTTGTTACTAGAAATTTAAGATCAAACTGAAATAGGTGAAATTCTCAGAAAAACTATAAAAAACAGTAGGTACTCTAAAAAGATAGAAAACAATATATAATAAGGTGGATAATAAGCCTTCTTCTATTAATAAAATCTCTATTTATTGTTACTTCCAATTTTATAAGGTGATACTCCATTTGTTAGTCCTTTTACTTCCTAGAATTTTCTTGCCCTTAATAGAGAAAGTATATACTTAAGTCTATTTAGGTTACTAGAGACCCTAGTTTTTATTCAAAGAAGTTTATAAACAAATAAATGAGAGTAGTAAAGATATAAAAAAACAAGTTTCAAGTTAATTTAATAAAAGTATAAAGACTTTATTAGCAAGGAAATATAAAATTTCTTGCAAATATTTTTTTTGTATGTGATTAGAGGATTATTATATAAAATATTTATTAATTAGTTTTGTTCTTAATAATAATTATATAATTTCTCTAATTATTTAATTAATTATTTTTTTTTTTAACCCACAATCATGCCACAATAGCATGTCTTTATTGAGATATTAAAAAATACCTAAATATTTTACAGACTTTCACAAAGTGACTAACTCATCATTGTACATTATTAGTTAAAGGATTATATTACTTAAAAAATAT